GTTACTCAGAGTGGCCAGAGGCATCATGACACACCCAGAAAGAGCTGGCCTCCCCAGGCTTGTTCATCAGATAAGCTGAGCCACAGGGAAGAAGTGAGCAGCTGCATCCTTTAAAATGTTTATTTTATGACCCCAAAAGTGCCCAACAAGGGTTAAATCCAGCTCAGGTCAGGACACCAGCAGCATAAATCATAGCCAGGTAGGTGGGGTGCCTTTAAAAAAAAAAATTACCTTTAAAAAAAATCAATTTGGACATTAGAAGAGCAGTCCAGATCCAGGGCAAGACAGGATGAACACTTGCTTTGTCTTTGAATCCCTAAAATAAGAAAGAGAGTATCTGGCCCATGCTGAGTGCTTAAGAAATGTGTCCCACATAAAGACTCACAAGAACAGACACCTCAAGTTCTCAGCAGGCCTATTCCCCCAGGGGAAACACAGGGGAAAATCTGTGGCTCCTAGGTCCACAGTTAACTCAACTTTCCATTTCTGGTCAAAATGTAAGACACAAAAGGGTGGCCAAGGTGAAGACCCCTGGGAATGCTAATGATCGTGTCTTGTCTCCCTATCTGAAGATAGTGCCATTCATCAAGTCTCTGTTGACATTCCATGAGAAACCAGGGACAAAATTAACTCAAGGAATATGTCACAGGTCCCTAGGGTTTTACAAGTAATTGCAGCACTTAACCCAGCTGTGCTACGAACATAAAAATCTTAGATAACATTGTTGGGAAAGAATGTGAAAAAAAACCAAAAGAATGTGATAAAAGCAAAAAGAGTGAATTTGTGTGAATTTTAAGATACCAGTCTATATGGCACAGCTGTCAGAAAGCTGTGTTCAACTTTTAAAAATGATCAGCACACTCCCATGCAAAGCCCATTTTAGCCAAGTCACCTACAAGTTCAAGGAACTCCTGTTGGTCTTTCCAAGCTCTCCCCATTGAAATCTGACTTGCATGTGTCCTGTCCATCTGACACACTCTCCAGTAGCGCAAGGCCATCACCCAACCACCAGCAGTGAACCTCTCCCACATTCAAAAGCCGTGCCCAAAACTGGGGGCCAAGACAGGGAGCCAAGGTCAGTCTCAGAAATGGTGGGGGGGGAGCCAGCAGGGGGCCAGAGAGGCTTTGGTGGAAACAGCAGAGGGTCACTCAGGTCTCAGGAAGTCTTCACAGTGGAAATAATAAGCTCAATCAGCCCCTAGCTGGAGGGACAGCATGGAGAAGAGCTCCCAGCAGAGGGGACAGCAAGTGCCCAGACACAGCCCCCTGCCTGGGGGAGATCACAGTCACAGATGTTGCCTCATGCATCGCAAGTCCATCCACTCTTGCGCAGAGTTCATATACTTCCCCCTAGTCTATATCAAAACTATCAAGGAAAAGCAAAACTGCCAAGATCACCATCTTGGAACATATCCCATTTCAATTATGTAAAATATAGAAATGTCACCCATCAGCAGCGTGAGGCCCAGGTGCTCTTTATGGCTTTGAAATGAGGGAGTAAGAACTCCCTCGGGAAATCAGGTTGGCACATCTGGGAGGTGGCAGCGCTCAGAGGCATAGCTAGACTGAAAACTGGAGATGGGGCACCCAGGCAACCCTGCAGGGTCTTCACTGTCACTCAGGCTGTCAGCAGGGTTATGCCAGCATGAAACCATGCCCTGTGGCCTCTGCATACCCCACCCCCTTCCCCACACTTCTGCCATGGACTGTGGAAACAGACCTAGCAACCAAGACAAATATATGGAGATACCTACTTCATACAGAACAAGGCACTGATGTCCTAGAGGGCTCCTGGGCCTGCAGGTCTAGCACCCCTGGAGGATATGATGCTCCCTCTTCTCGGGGCTTCCTCAGGTCACCTAGCATCCCCCCAGCTCCCACTCTTCCACCACTTCCCAGTAGCCAGGTGGAGACATGTGGCATCATCCTGGGAACTTGCCTCACCAGTCTGACCAAATGTTCCTGGGAGCTAGGACAGCCTGCAGCCACCCACCCCGCCTGGACCTTTCCAGGGTCCCTTCCTAGCACGAGGTGTCACTTCTAGTAGGTGGCTGACCCAACTAAAGAGAAGTTGCTCCAAAGAAAGATCCTGTCTTCCTTTTACAGCTCAAAACTATAGCTCAAGAAATGCATTTTTTGCATAAGATAAGGAAGTATAGCAACTGGTACCCACCAAACCGTGGTTGGAAGTTTCACTTTGTGATAAAGACAGAAAGTGGGAGGGGTTTCAGCTGAAAGCGTGAGTTATTGGAGTCCTAGGAGTAAAGAGGGCAAGAACCCACGGTGACACGAGAGCTGGAAAGTGCAGTGAACAGTCACAGCTGGGCAGGCAAACGGGAAACATGTGAGTGCCACCTATTGGCAAGAGTAAACAATAACAAAGAAGTCATTCTTTGCACAACCGCCATCCAGATAATATGAACACTTAGGCATCATCTGCAGAGCACTTTGGGATTTGCAAAGGAGTTGTACATCCCACTAACTGCCTCGTGATCGAGATCGTGGAAGCCCAAAGCTGCAAGCTTTGCACATGGAAGTTAGTGAGCACCCCCATACCTGCTGGCTACATTCATTCATATGAGCAATTAGATCCTGGGTTCAGACCCCAAACCTAGACATCCTTAGATCCCAAAGGATGGACACCAATGCTGGGGACACCAGGATGCCTCCAGTTCCTGCTCCACACCACCCGGACATCCCATCCAGATCAGGAACCCAGTGGTTAAACAGAAATGTTCCGTTCAGCCCTTCAGGGGAAGCTGACTGAGCCCCACACCTGGAGACATGACATGGAAATAGGATTTAGGAAGATTGTTTCTACAGGAACCCCAAATCACTCATGGGAACGCACCTGTGCAGCTGGGGAGGAGGTAAATAAAGTAGCAGGGACGCCCTGCATCGCTGAGCCTCCAGCTCCAAGCACCTGCTTTCCTCCTACAGGGAGCGTTGACACAGCCACACAACCAGCTGGCACAAACTTTGGATGACAGAGAACAGGAGTCAAAACCTGACTCCAGCCTGGAAGGTGAAGGGTGGTGTCTGCCCTGACATAGAAGGTCAAATCACAGAGAGGATCAAACCCTTTTCCCTTAACTCAAATCAAGAGAGCTGAAGGGAACAACTAGTAACCAGGTAATTAGTAACCAGGGACGGTAGGAGGAGAGGGAGAGAAGGGGGGCAAAATTGTGGAATCATGAGGAACCTAGAACAGAAAGAAGCCTTCTCTAAGAACATACCCTGTGTCCTCTCAGCAGGCAGTCACAGACACCACGTTTACTCCCACAGGGGCTTAGGGAGAGGGCTCCCAGTCCTGCAGAAACCATGAGGAGCTAAGGCCCTGACTTGGAGATGATGATCACCAGGATTCTAAAGATTTACACCTTGTCAGTGGATGAGTTCACTCAATGAACATGGGAATGAACGACTCCACAGAGGACTGCACTGGGTGAGCTCACACCCTGACTCTAGTTAGAAGTCAAAGGTCAGCTAGGAGAGATGGTTTAATACTGAGAAAGAAATGGATAGAGGTCAAGTGAAGAAAGCCATAAACTCCAGACAGCACAACACAGGAGAAAAAGAAGGGGGGAAAGGTCTGATTAAAACCCAACAACTGGCCCTCCTTGGTGGCGCAACGGGTTAGGACACACCACTGCAAGCTAGCCACAGATGCCTCAGTGCGATTTCTGGTAACGGCAGACCTCTCCTGTTCTTGCTTGCTGCTCCCCTCAGCAGTGTACTTTGTTGATCTGCCTGTTCTGCTCCCTGCTCTGTCTCTAGGGAAGCCTCTCACCACCCCCATCCCTCTGGTCTGTACCCCAGTTCTGTATGCAGAAATAAATAAATCTTAAAAAAAAAAAAAAACAACAACTGTTTCCACTAATGGCAAAAACCGCTTCTATTAAAAAATTGCTATGAGGGCCCTCCCTGGTGGGGCAGCGGGATAAAGCACTGCACTGAGAAGCTAAAGCCACTTCCACATGAGTTCGATCCCCGCCTGCCCCGGAGGTGACCACATGGTGTGGCAGACCTCTCCTGACCTGCCCGCTGCTCCCTCAGCAGTGTACTTCATCGATCTGCCTGTTCTGCTCCCCACTCTGTTTCTGGTGAAGCCTCTCACTGCCCCTGAGCCTCTGGCCTGTACCCCAGTTCTGTATGTACAAATAAATAAATCTTTTTAAAAAATTGCTATGAAAACAGAAATTCAAGAAAATTCTGTTGGCATTATAAAGATGAACCTATCACTAGCATCATACTTAATGAAATATCAAAGTCATTCTGATTCAAGTCAGAGAAAAGAAGGTTGCCTTTTATTACCAGTACTATTTAGTGCTATTCTAACCAGCCAACACGTTAGAACAAGAAAAACAAAAGAGACTGTGAAAGTGGAGACAAGATATTTATCAATGATATGGTTAGTCACTAAAAAAGCAAGAGAATCAAGCAACATTGCTAGAATATATAGTTAGCTAACATCTTACAATTAAGTAGTTAAATTAATACTTAAAATTTAGTAAACAGATAGAAAATAATGACAAGAGTCCTCAAACAGCAAAATGATTATTAAAAATTATGAAACATTTATGACTGAGTAAAATCTAGATCAAAAATTCTACAAAGTAAAAAAGATTAAGATAAAATTAATCAAAATTAAGGTAGATAAGTAGTTACAGATAATTTAGTTACATGGGATTTTAAATGGTGGTTGCGTACATATTTGTACATGTATATTGTCTATGACCTAGAACATCACATCATTTTTCTAACAAATTCAGATAGTTTTTCAAAATAGTATTGATTCTACTTGTGAGCCATTACTTTTTACTTAAGGTAAAAACATGATGGAATTTGGCAATACATGGAGTGATTTTTTAATCCCCAGAACAACATCCTGAGCAAAGACAATTTTTATATAAACTGTGCTGCCAGCCCACTGTCTCCGTGCCCTTCAAGAGATTCACCCGAGGAATCAAATGCCACCAAATCAAGCAACGAGGCCTTACCTGTGAAAAGTTGAGCCCGTTCAGTGGATGGCACTGTTCTTCCACCTTTTCCACCGCCCCCGTCTGTTTCCTCAACCTCTCCGCCTCCTGGGCGAGGTACAGGTCTAAGACAGGCACCCCACGGGACTTAATGTCCACCTCTGTCAGGGAGTTGACCATAAGCATCACCCAGATGGGCCTCTTCCGCTCCCAGTTCCCTGCGATGGCATTGAAGAGGTAGTCGGCATAGAGACCCTTACCGCGCTGGTCCGGCGTCATCCATGAGGGCATCATGAGCTTCACATACTCGAGGTGGCGCTTGAGGCGGCAGTAGATGTCCCTGGGAAGCACGTCCTGCAGGTTCTCCCCCTGCGGCAGCATCTGACAGCTGGTGAGGGCTGAGATAGTATAGGGGTCGGTGAGGTCCAGCTCAAAGTACACAATGCTGCTCTGCTGAAAAGCCTCCTTGGAATTGTCGGGGATGAAGTCCCAAACCCGGGTGTATGGAACGTGGATCGTACCAAAGAAGTAAGAGGGTGGGTCTCGCTTGATGGTCCACAAGAAAGAATTTAACTCACTTTGCTAAAAGGAAAACAGACAATATCGAGGCATGATATAGAGGGTAGGAAACTAAGAGGAGAAAGTGATTAAAATGACAAGTCACACTACGGGAGGAAAATTATCATATCGGGACTTAGACTTTGGAGTCCAGAGGGCCACCTGCCAGGAGTGGGAGTCCTCCATGCAGACTGCATTTCAGCATCCTTTGCCCATTTCCATCAAAATGTTAATTAGGTGAGAAAACACTAGTAATCACTGGCTGTGAGTTTGGCCTCACCCAGGCCTGCCCTACAAGTAAACTGGGCAAGAGTTAAAGAAGAGATTCCCAAGGGACTCCCAGGACACACCGGTACAGGTCAGGGCCCACTGTCATCTCCCAGACAGACCTGATGGTCTCTGCTTCTTCAGATCTCAAATCCAACCTTCCCAAAGGCAGAAGCTCTCAACTCTGGCTGCACATAGCAATCACCTGCAAAGCTTCTCTAAGTTCATTAACAGTGGGTTCCACCCCAGACCAATCACATCAGGCCCTGTGGAGGTGGCATCAGATGTGCTATTTTTAAAGCTCCTCTGGTGACTCTCATCTGTAGTCAAGGTAGACACCATGACCTTAATGAGCCCGTGATTTCACAATTCATTTTTGTCCCTATCGGACATGGATCAATCTATTGCATTTCTTTCTCACAAGAGCCTCCTGGTTCAATGGCAGAGAACTGCTGGTGTTCTGGGGATTCTCTTCCCTGCAGTTTTATAGGCTGAGCATCTACCTGAGGTCACAGCACTTTGCCCTTGAACCTGAGTGTCTCTTAGTCTCAAAAGGGGTATCTATGAAGTGTCCAGGTATTAAGAGATCCATAAAGATAAGAGTACTACACAAACCTCAAGTTCAAAATTCAGTACAAGTATAAAAGTTAGATACACACTTAGTTGAGTCATGCATTGTGCAAGCAAAAACTGGTTTACAAAAAGGAAGATTTGGAATGTGTACCCCTTGCAAAAGTCTTTCATCACCCATTCATAAAACACACTTTGCTGTGCAGTTTTCAGTTGATAATCAATTTTCATTATTTATCATCGTCACTTTGGGCACTGAATTAGTGAATCCTGAACTAGTATTGTTCCCAGGGGAGACATAGGTTCCTTCAAGGCTCTGTCACAACATTTCACCAACAGATCAATACAGATTGTGTACTTCTTCTAAGAAGCAACTTATTTACCAGATTTTGTTGATTCACTGACATTAAACTCACAAGTCACTGTAACTCATGCCTGAATAAAGTGCATCTAACACAAGTGCTTTTTCCACAGGCTCAGCTCAGCCTTCTGTCATTTAGAGACACTAGGTAATGCATCAAGCCATCTTAAACAGTGAAATCGCCTCCAGGAACACAAAATGCAAAAAACATGGCAGTCAGTAGACCACATAAAGGACATCTAAGACAGGAGAGCTGACCCAAGAAGCCGGGGCACTGTGGACTTGCTCAGCCTCATCTGAGAATGAGCACAAGGGACGACTCAAATTTTTTGGAAAGTCTAAGCATGTCTGCAAATAACCGTGAAAGCAAGTATTTATTTCAGGGCTACAAATCAATTTTAGAAAGCAGGCAAATTCACAAATAATAAGAATCAACTGTGTTAGCATTGTGTGTGTTATTATTTGGTGGCAGCAATTTGATTTCAAATGAAATATGATAAATAAAAATATAGTGCCCATGAGAGTGGAGCCGGTGGAAATAGGGGCATCGTCCTAAGCTCCACCTTCTCCTCTACACCTGCCCCCTTTGCTACCTGAACAAGAACCACTTAGGTGAGGGAAGAGAAGGCAGGTAAAGACAGGGACAAGAGGCGGTTACTCTAACTCTCAAAAAGGGAGGCTGACTAGCAGCCCAAGCAGTAAGTGCTGGCCACATAAGGCCTGGTATTCCAGAATGTGTTCTCAGATGAAATGAGAAATCTTTTTCAAAAGAAATGAGAATTTTCCAAATGGAAAATGTTGCCTCGGTTTTCTTAAACACCAGACCTTCAGCCTGAGACCTTATTTTTGGATATTTAATTGCAGTTCTGTTCATAGACCCACCTTTTCAAGAATACACTAAGTGGACAAAAGTAGCCTAAATTCTGCTTCTGTCTCAGGTAACCCACCAAGATTTTTAAAAGCTCCTTCACTTCTCTATATGTCCATTTCTTCATCTGCAAAACTTAGGTAATAACTTCTGTCATAGGTTATGGGATAGACAAATTAGACAGGTAATTGTTAAATGACTGACTAAATGAAAGAAATGAGGCTTTTAAAAAAACAATTTTAAATACCTTTCATATTGATAGAGGAATCATATACAGAGTATTCAGCAAGCCCTCAGGCATCCTTTATGGGGCAACAAGGGTTATTTAAATAGTTCGAAAAGTCCAATTAAAACTGTATATCGGGCCCTCCCTGGTGGTGCAGCGGGTTAAAGCACTGCACACAGAAGCTTAAGCCACTTCCGCATGAGTTCGATCCCCGCCTGCCCCGGAGGTGACCACATGGCGCGGCAGAC